AAGTATTGATTTGGGTGAAGAGAAGGGCAATGTACCAAATGTGAGTGATCAACATCGTGGCATTGAGGAAGAGGAAGACAGAGGTACATGGGAGGTACAGACAACAAAGATGAACCCTTTTACACATACATTACTGCATTGTCAGTGAAGGCAAACACGGGTATACAGGTGGATAGATAGGTGGACAGGCTGAATGATCAGGTATGTCTGTGCAGGGGAGAGTGTGCCCATGACCATGTATAGGTTGGCAGAAAATGTTTCTATAAGTGTATTTGTATGTTCTGTAAGAATTTTAGTAGAGCTGACAAGGGACAGGGTTATAGTCACTTCTTGGTCACAGTCAACTACCCAGAGGGAGCTAGTAGTTGGACCTGTGGGTTTGAGACCATAGTTGCCGTGGACATCGAGCTCAATTGGCATAACATACTACACAAAAGCATTGTTCCACATCCTGCTTTGGCGAGTAGCAACTGGTATCTTAAAAGCTTGCAAGCAGCCATCTAGATGCAGCAATGGGTCTCTCCTCATCCAGGGCAAAAAAGAATGAAGAAAACCAAAGATGCATGGAAACAATTAGTCCGAGCGACTGGTACACCATGCAGTCCTCAGCCTATCTGACTATGAGACCAGAAGAACTAGATGGTGCCTGGCTGCTGCTATCAACCATTTGGAGGGGTATCTATGTAGGAGATCCTGGATAGAGTAGGAGAACAACGTGGAACAAAACTGAAAATCATTAAAAAAAAAAAGGGGGGGGGGCCGATTAGGTTTACTGATCTGATAGAGCCTGGTGGAACTCTTGAGACTGTGGCCTCTAACTGCCCTTCAGGTCTGGAATTGAACCCATACACCTGTGGCTTCCAGCCAAACAAAAGACAGGCATATCAGCTGCAAAAGACAGGCATAACATGCACAGGCATATTACCTGAGGTAGATACACTCCTTGGAGAGATCAATCACAGGCAAATAGAAGAGCTGTGTATGCACAGGGAGACAGCTCAGGGGGCAAGAGTGCATGGAGGGATGGACACAGGGAAGAGGTAACTATGGGGAGGAAGTGGGAGGGGAGCTGTTGCATTGTGGGAAATT